GGGGAGACAACCATCTGAGGATCCAACCAATACCATCACTTTGCCATACATAGCAGGGGTTACCAAAAATATTTCCAAAATCTTAAACACAAGATCCAGGTCCGATTCAATACAGTACACAAAATCCGTGATCTAATCCCATCTGTGAAGGATGTCATTCCTGACATGCAATATCCTGGAGTCTACAAACTGAGTTGTACCTGCGGTCGCAGTTACATTGGGGAAACGAAACGATATGTCTCGGACCGTGTTTGCGAACACAAGGCGGATCTGAAACATGGTAGGACTGATACCTCTGCCGTTGCTGATCATTGTTTAAACGCAGTGGGCTCACACGAAATAGATTTTTCCCAGATAAAGGTACTCTGCAAACCCACCGGCTATTTTAAGAGATTTGTTCATGAAGCCATCCAGATATATAAACACAGACACAACTTCAACCGAGAAGATGGGTACAAACTGAGCGATCATTGGAAGGACGTTATTAACCAGATAAAACCTGAACTGTTTATGGTTGTTTCCATCATATTTGCCGGGTACTAGTCTATTTTAAAATCCTTTATATTAAGTTCGCTTGCTTGCTTGCGTGCTTGCTTGCGTGCTTGCTTGCTGGCTTACGACCGTGCAAATCTTTCGGTCGTTTTTTAACCCACTTCCCTTTTTAGGCAAAAAATTTGTATTTTACATTTATTCAAATAGAACTCATTCATGGCTTTGGCTGAACGTCACAGTGTAGGAGCCCAGAGCGTAACCCCTCCACAGGCCGTGGCGGAGTAGCGCAGTTGGTAGCGCCCTCGCTTCCTATGCCAAAGGTCGCGGGATCGATCCCCGCTTCCTCCACAGGCGAATATATTTTTAAATCCTTTATATTAAGTTCGCTTGCTTGCTTAGGACCGTGCAAATCTTTCGCTCGTTTTTTAACCCACTTCCCGTGATCCAATCGAGCTGACATTTTGCACACAGACTCGTTGTGCGGGACAATTAATGTTCGTGAAAATTTTTTTCCAAAATTTTACACTGTTTAGGGAAAACAAATTAAATATTTAATTACCAATTGCTTAATACTGGCAGACAATCTGACCCATAGGTGGCAGCCATCTCAAGCCAGAGGACGAGATGACTCTAGCCGCCACGCATATAAAGGATTTAGAGTGAAAAACTTTGTTTTTACGGGTTATCCCCCCCCCCCGCATCCCCAGCTTTCCCGGCCTCCCACTTCCAGCCCCTCGTTCTCGTCCTCTCCCCCGAGTGCTCACGCAGCGCAGCGCCCCCCTCCCCCTTTCTTACCTATATAACCTCTTGCCACGGCAGCTCTCTCTCCCACTTCAACAATTTTTTCTTGCTGTGGTTTTCCCACCTGATGATGATTGGTTGTGTTTGTCACACTGGAAGGAATACATTCAGACGCATGTTCTCTTTTGGTGTCACCCAGGGTTCAGTCCTTGGCCCACTTTCGTTCTACATATATTTGGCCCCACTTGGCCATATTATACACCAACGTGGACTTTGTTTCCATTGTGACAATTAAGGCTTGGATGTAGTTTAACTTTCTTAAGGTAAAAGCTGATAAGGTTCTGCTTATTGGGTCCCGTCATCAATTGTTTAAGGCTGGCTTGGTCAGTGTGATGGCCACAGTGTCAATGCTTCTTAGTTTGCAACCTTGGTGTTGTCCTTGATCCCTCAGGCCGAGGGCCTTTCCCGTGTTGCCCTCAAGCTGTGGAATTCACTTCCATCGAATATTCGATCAGCTGAGTCCCTCGCTTTTGTTAAATACCACCTGAAGATTTATTTATACCTTAAGGGCCTTTTCTCCTTATTAATGTGGTTATGTTTGTCAGGGAAGGGTTGATTTGTATCTTTGGTTAAATGCGACTGCGTTCTTATATTAGGTTATAGAATTGAGTGAGTTATTTACTTACTTGCTTTTAGCTCTGTGCAGTGCCTTGCAACCTCTGGGTGAAACTCGCTTAATAAGTGTCAATTATTATAAAGTGCACTCTACGCACAAACGCCACCCTCTCTCAGCATTTCGCTTGGGAGAGCATCTCTGCTCGGCGATTTTTCTGGTCTCAGACTCTAGATCCCCTTCTTTACTTCCTCAACAGATGGCACTTCAGCCATGCCACTCACATGGTGTGACTACTTCTTCCAATATTTGAGAAGCCTCAGCAGGGTCATCCCCACTTTGCCCCATGATGTTTTCCAGGCTGAGGGATTTCCCCTCCCCCAAGACCTCACACTTTCACACTCACACTTTCACACTCACACACAGTTTCACACGCACACACTTGCACACACTCGCGCGTGCACACACTCCCAGTGCGAGGCTGACTCATAGTTCCGCGGTTTAAGTCGCAAATGCGAGTTCTAGTTTTAACTTAATGTAAAAAAAAGTTAATATTTCATGGAAGCAGGTTCGTAAGTGCGGGTGTTTGGAAGTCTCGAGTTCGTAAGTCGATGACTGCATGTCGTTGAGTTTAAAGGAGGGAGCAAAAGAGAGGAATCGATTCTAAATCTGTTTAAATTTTCCGAATCTGTAATCGATTTCTTGACTTAAAGCTTTCGGGACTGCAGGAATTCAAACTCTTTGGGTCTTTCGGTAAAGTCACGGAGATAAAAGAAAATAATGAAAATAACAAAAGAATGTATTAGTTAATTTAAAAAAATTATTATTCGTTACTTTTATATCTACGTGAGTTGACCGAAAGACCTAGAGTATCGATTTCTTACTTCCGCTGAACCATTGGTGCCAGAACACATCAAACGCCGCGAGATTAAAATCGGTCACGGCGATCCGACTCCAGCGGGGCAAAATCGAGAGAATCGAGTGCCGCGATTACTGGAATCGATCCCATGCGTCTGCCCTCCGCCACGCTGTGAGTAGCCGAAGTCGACCCCGCGAGTGGTGATGGGGAGCGGTGGCGCAGCAGTTAGCGCCGCGCTCCCCTCCAAGCCTGGCCACTCGGTGGTGTTGGATTCCCGCCCGCCACCACCGGTTGACGATTATCTCGACCGGTCCCGGGGCCTGCCCTAGGTCCACTCGGCCTCAAATTAGCAACCCGGCGCGATGTATTAACGTCGTAACTTGGGGAGACAAAGGCGGTCGGGCGTGGTGTTGGCCTCCTGTGCCGCGGTGTAGAGGCTGTCTCTGTGGTGTAGAGGCTGTCTCTGTGTCCAGGTGTCTGTGGTGTAGAGGCTGTCTCTGTGTCCAGCTGTCTCTGTGGTGTAGAGGCTGTCTCTGTGTCCAGGTGTCTCTGTGGTGTAGCGGCTGTCTCTGTGTCCAGGTGTCTGTGTGGTGTAGAAGCTGTCTCTGTGTCCAGGTGTCTCTGTGGTGTAGAGGCTGTCTCTGGGTCCAGCTGTCTCTGTGGTGTAGAGGCTGTCTCTGGGTCCAGCTGTCTCTGTGGTGTAGATGCTGTCTCTGTGTCCAGGCTGTCTCTGTGGTGTAGAGGCTGTCTCTGTGTCCAGCTGTCTCTGTGGTGTAGAGGCTGTCTCTGTGTCCAGGTGTCTTGTGGTGTATAGGCTGTCTGGTGTCAGCTGTACTTCTGTGGTGTAGAGGCTGTCTGTGTCCAGGTGTCTCTGTGGTGTAGAGGCTGTCTTCTGGGTCCAGGCTGTCTCTGTGGTGTAGAGCTGTCTCTGTGTCCAGGTGTCTCTGTGGTGTAGAGGCTGTCTCTGTGTCCAGCTGTCTCTGTGGTGTAGAGGCTGTCTCTGTGTCCAGCTGTCTCTGTGGTGTAGATGCTGTCTCTGTGTCCAGGTGTCTCTGTGGTGTAGATGCTGTCTCTGTGTCCAGCTTTCTCTGGTGTACAGGCTGTCTCTGTGTCCAGGTGTCTCTGTGGTGTAGATGCTGTCTCTGGGTCCAGCTGTCTCTGTGGTGTAGAGGCTGTCTCTGGGTCCAGATGTCTCTGTGGTGTAGAAGCTGTCTCTGTGTCCAGGTGTCTCTGTGGTGTAGAAGCTGTCTCTGTGCAGGTGTCTCTGGTGTAGCGGCTGTCTCTGTGTCCAGCTGTCTCTGTGGTGTAGAGGCTGTCTCTGTGTCCAGGTGTCTCTGTGGTGTAGAAGCTGTCTCTGTGCAGGTGTCTCTGGTGTAGCGGCTGTCTCTGTGTCCAGCTGTCTCTGTGGTGTAGAGGCTGTCTCTGGGTCCACGTGTCTCTGTGGTGTAGAGGCTGTCTCTGTGCAGGTGTCTCTGGTGTAGCGGCTGTCTCTGTGTCCAGCTGTCTCTGTGTCCAGCTGTCTCTGTGGTGTAGAGGCTGTCTCTGGGTCCACGTGTCTCTGTGGTGTAGAGGCTGTTTCTGTGTCCAGGTGTCTCTGTGGTGTATAGGCTGTCTGTGTGTCCAGCTGTCTCTTTGGTGTAGAGGCTGTCTCTGTGTCCAGGTGTCTCTGTGGTGTACAGGCTGTCTCTGTGTCCAGGTGTCTCTGTGGTGTAGATGCTGTCTCTGTGTCCAGGCGTCTCTGTGGTGTAGAAGCTGTCTCTGTGTCCAGCTGTCTCTGGTGTAGAGGCTGTCTCTGTGTCCAGCTGTCTCTGTGGTGTAGAGGCTGTCTCTGGGTCCAGCTGTCTCTGTGGTGTAGAGGCTGTCTCTGTGTCCAGCTGTCTCTGTGGTGTAGAGGCTGTCTCTGGGTCCAGGTGTCTCTGTGGTGTAGAAGCTGTCTCTGTGTCCAGGTGTCTCTGTGGTGTAGAGGCTGTCTCTGTGTCCAGGTGTCTCTGTGGTGTAGAAGCTGTCTCTGTGTCCAGGTGTCTCTGTGGTGTAGAAGCTGTCTCTGGGTCCAGGTGTCTCTGTGGTGTAGCGGCTGTCTCTGTGTCCAGCTGTCTCTGTGGTGTAGAGGCTGTCTCTGGGTCCAGATGTCTCTGTGGTGTAGAAGCTGTCTCTGTGTCCAGGTGTCTCTGTGGTGTAGAAGCTGTCTCTGTGCAGGTGTCTCTGGTGTAGCGGCTGTCTCTGTGTCCAGCTGTCTCTGTGGTGTAGAGGCTGTCTCTGTGTCCAGGTGTCTCTGTGGTGTAGAAGCTGTCTCTGTGCAGGTGTCTCTGGTGTAGCGGCTGTCTCTGTGTCCAGCTGTCTCTGTGGTGTAGAGGCTGTCTCTGGGTCCACGTGTCTCTGTGGTGTAGAGGCTGTCTCTGTGCAGGTGTCTCTGGTGTAGCGGCTGTCTCTGTGTCCAGCTGTCTCTGTGTCCAGCTGTCTCTGTGGTGTAGCGGCTGTCTCTGTGTCCAGCTGTCTCTGTGTCCAGCTGTCTCTGTCCAGCTGTCTCTGTGGTGTAGAGGCTGTCTCTGGGTCCAGCTGTCTCTGTGGTGGCAAAGCTGTCTCTGGGTCCACGTGTCTCTGTGGTGTAGAGGCTGTTTCTGTGTCCAGGTGTCTCTGTGGTGTAGCGGCTGTCTCTGGGTCCAGGTGTCTCTGTGGTGTAGAGGCTGTCTCTGTGTCCAAGTGTCTGTGGTGTAGAGGCTGTCTCTGTGTCCAGGCGTCTCTGTGGTGTACAGGCTGTCTCTGGGTCCAGGTGTCTCTGTGGTCTAGAAGCTGTCTCTGGGTCCAGGTGTCTCTGGTGTAGAGGCTGTCTCTGTGTCCAGGTCTCCATGGAGATGGACCCAATGTGCGCCTGGGTGCCGCCAGCTGCTGCTTCTGCACTTGATGCGGCACTCATGAAGCAGGAGGAGTCATGGACGCATGCGGCGTTGAAGCTGGAGGGTGAGGGCCCTTCCCCCTGCACTCACCACAAACTCTCCACACTCACCCTACTCACCACTCTCACTCACCACACTCACCTCCATCACCCTACTCACCACTCTCACTCACCACACTCACCTCACTCACTCACCCTGCTCAGCACACTCACCACGCTCACTCACAACGCTCACTCATCATGCTCAACACACTCACCATGCTCACTCACCACACTCACTCCACTCGCCACCTTTACTCAATCTTCTCACCCCACTCGCTGCACTTATCACTCACCCTCCTCACACACCACGCCTGGACCAGAAGTAGTCGCACTCGACTTGTTGATGTCCAACTGAACACCGCAATGCGGTGCATCACTGGAACCCTCAAGTCGACCCCAACACCCTGGCGGCCCGTGCTGTCACAAATCTCTCCCCAACCCCTCCGCCGCAATGCAGTAACCCTCCGGGAAGTCCTGAGAATCGAGGAAAATAGTCGCCTTGCCATTCGCCAGGACCTCGATAACATCCCACGCCATTGCTTGCAGTTATCCCTTTTTGACCCCATGCGCTTAAACTTTAACAATGCGAGTTCAACCCCAGTGAAGCTTGTAGAGCTGAATGGAGCTCAAAATAACTCGCAAACACCTCGTGAAAGACTTAATGCAGAAGATCCCTGGCTTTGATCTTCTACAGATCTGACGGTTCACCATAAATTGCTATCTGCACAAACCATGGCAGATGCGGATACCTTATGCACAAATCGAAAATTAAAAGCTCTCCAGTAGTGTGCGACCTGTGGTCATCTAGAATAAACCATAAAACTTATAGCGACGCAATAGCCGATCTACAAATATGTAGGATACATCACGACGATACAGTCCTCTGCTCCTGATCCGGTTATCTGGCTTGACCACCTGAATGTGTAAATGTAGTTGTTGATCTGTATCTACATCAGCAGCCGTACTTAAAGAAAAAGATCCATCAAGACCTGAGGCTCAAAAGGATCCTGCCAATTTGCTGCGTGTGATCTCAATTGAAGTAATTTGCAGGGGATTTGATTTTTTTAGCATTGGGAAGTTTTGGCCAATATCGGTTACACCGTGCGTGTGGGTGCTTTTTTTGTGTAGCTTTGGCAGGAAACTTAAGAACCTGGAGAGAACACGAGCAGAACCAGGGGGAGAACACAAAACTCAGCACAGAGAGGCGATGCCGGTGATGAGCAGCGCTCGGCACTGTGCCACCATTCTGCCCCACGTGTCAAATGTGGCGATCCACGTTTGATTCCCACTCACGACCAATAACAGTGAAAGCAAGTACAATCTGTTGATCTCCTATAACACGGTAGTAGTTGCCTTGCTGAATAAAACCGCGTTATGAAAAAAAACGCGTTGTTATAAATAACGTCGGGTAAAGCACAGTCCGCGATAACACGTAAGATGCATACGCAGGCTGAACAAAGACCGGGGCATGGTGGGTATCGTCTTGAATCATCCAGCAGCATCCCAATGCCTTGTGCGATGATGCTACGCCAAGACAGACGTACAACTGATTATTCCTACTCGCGTGACTCATTTCTGTTCACTCGATCGCATTTTAAGCAATTCACATCAGTTTAATGAAACAAGTGTTCCTTAATACATGCATGGCGTGTTAGGAGAACAGAGACTGTATTTGAACCAGGCCTAGGCCTTGCCTAGGTCGACTCGGCCTTAAATGAGTACCTTGTGTGATGTATTTGTCTTTGTGCGTGCTGTAGCTGCAGACAGCTGTACAGAGAGCCCGGGAGAGGCAGCGTCATGGCTCACGGTGAAGAGCGAAGCCTCAGGTGGGGGCTGAGCGCTGCTTCCCCCCCCCTCCCCCGACCTCCGCTCTCTCTCTTTAATTTGCTTGCTGCCGTCGCCTCGTTGCGTTTCTCCAAACGCAAATCTCAAGTCCAAGTCCTGGCCTCCTCGCCGTGGTCTAGAGCAGACTCAATTGGACAGCGGTGCCGGTTTTAAATCAAATGCACCCCCCGCAGGCCACACATGGCCTACGAAAATGAAAAGCGTAATAATCATACAGCGTTACTGAACGTCGGCTGTATTAAAACAACAACAGTATAGCTAAATTCCCATCAACAACCCACGTAATTTCGATTTAAAGCTTTCGTGACTGCAGGGATTCATCTTCTTGGTTCTTTCGGTAAAGTCACGTAGAAGGGAAATAATAAAATAATAAAAATACAACATAATAAAACAATTCTCACGACGTTTCGGCCACAACGCAAGCAACCGTCCTCAGGTGAAGAACAGGTCTGTCAGAAAGACAGCGTCTGAATGAGCACCACCATGCTTGGCAGCGTATATTTAAGCTGCGTTGGAGGGGGAAGAGTGCCTTGACAAAGGAATTTGCATATCAAGAGGAATGTAAAAACACTTGAATGAATGAAATTATTTGTATAGCTACTCACTCAGTGCTCGCTTCCTTCTGCCTGCCACCTCTTTGTTTGGACCACTACATCGAAGTTTGAAACAAGTGGACTGGACTCTTGCCAGCTTTGTTTTTCGGTGCGCAGATCAAGCATGTTGGCTTTCCATTTACCTCCACAAACAAATTAGAATTCTTCCACCTTTCTTGCAGAATTATACGCTCCTTATCGACCTTTTCTTTAATATCATAATTGGCCTATAAGACATATAAGACATTTGAAACGGATTTTGCTGCTGGAGTGAGGATAGTCGTCATATCGGTATGAAGTGCATGCATAGAACCAGCGTGAGGAACTTCCTCGGATTTATAGGGACAGAGGTGGTGGTGGAGGGGTCAGTGTACTTCTGCAGATGTCTATCACACAGATAAACTAAAACTTAACAGTTTTTATTTCACCCACAAGTGATAACTCAAAGAAGTGGCTTATCTCATGGAAATGTATAGCAGCCAAATACTCTAAACGCACGTTTCTAAATCTGGAGGTGACACCTGGAGGGGAAACCTGGAGGAGCCGGAAAGAAATCCACGTGACCACGGACAGAGAGACACGCAGACTCCACATATACAGCAGGCGTCAGGGTCGGGATCGAACCCACGACCTCCTGTATACCAGGCAAGGTAGTTAACATCTCTTAGCCACTAGATAAAGTTTCCGTGGGGGGGACTGGGGCTCTGTGTGCAAACATTGCAGTGGGCGAACCGGGTGACGGCGGCTGGGGGGGGGGGATGGCTGGGCTCGGTCATCGAGAAGGAGGAGTTAGAATGCATGGGAAAAGAGAGTTGATTTAATTTCTTACTGCAAGGCACGCCAAAATCCCCCATTTTAAATTCAGGTTGAATTCATGTCGAAGCTTTAAAATATTCTATAAATAAATTATAACAATTTAAATAAGTGGTAACGATTAAAACACTTGGCAAGCCTGGAGGAAGGGGGCTTGGGGTCCTGGGTCCGGCCCGCGTCAAGTGTTTTGACACCCCCTGATCTAGAGCTTAGAAAACCTGCTGGTTATGTCCTTTAGGCGATTTAATGTAGCCAATAATTTTTCCGGTCGCATCTTTCTCTGAAAACTTTTCGGCTTCAGCCCAGGGGTTGACAACCAAAATAAAATAAAACGCAATATTTCAAGCACCACAATATGGATCAAGGTGAATACGAAACAGCGGTCCTTAATAAATAAACGTCACGAAGCAGTTACTCAAAGAGCTGCCGCATGCAGCTGCGAGCCACAAATTGCCGACCCCTGCTTCAGCCATGTGTCTTCAGACTTCTTGAACTGCTTGTTCTCTCCTTCTTTTGTTCTACCCCATTCCCTTCCTCCTCCTGCATACGTGTCTGGGCACTCCGACGTGTCACTGGTGCATTACAACATACGGGGAAGTTACGTTCCCACGCTCTCCCCTCGTTAACGCCGAACACCCAAGAGCCACGTGCCCCCACATTTTTTTTTTGCCGCTGCAGAGGACGGAGTGGACGGTGCCAGCTTCCCCTGCCAGGTTGTGCGGCCGCTGAGTTTGGCCGCCAGAGATCGCTGCGCCAGCACGAGCTGTGGCACCGGCGCACGGCGGCGGTGGCCCCTCACCCGGAGGGACTCGGTGACGACAGATGACAACGTTACCGGCGCCAGCCTCCCGGGCCAGCCAGGCTCCCGTGCCACGGAGAGGCTTCACGGCTTGTGCCGTCTGCGACAAGGCGTTCAAGCGGAAGCGATACTTGATAGTTCACCAGAGGACGCACACGGGTGAGAAGCCATATGGCTGCACCGAGTGCGGTAAGGCGTTCACGCAGAAGGGCCACCTGCGCATGCACCTGATGTCGCACAGCGGTGCGAAGCCGTACACGTGCAGCTGTGTGCGAGAAAGCGTTCCCCAGGAAGGGGCATCTGCTGGTCCACGAGAAGACGCACACCGGCGAGAGGCTGTACGTGTGCACGGTGTGCGACAAGGAGTTCTCTCGCAAGGAGCACCTCCTCGTGCATCAGCGCACGCACACCAACGAGAAGCCGTACAAGTGCCTCCTGTGCGAGATGGCGTTTAGGCAGAAGAAGTACCTGCTGATCCACCAGAGGAACCACACGGGTGAGAAGCCCTACACGTGCGCGGTGTGTGACAAGGCCTTCAAGAAGTCAGAGTACCTGCAGATCCACCAGAGGACGCACACGGGAGAGAAGCCCTACAAGTGCGTGCAGTGTGAGAAGGCATTCACGCAGAAGGGCGACCTGCAGAGACACGAAGCGATCCACTCGGGAAAGAAACTGTTTGAGTGCCCCGTGTGCGGAAAAGCGTTTAAGCGCAAGGACTATCTTGCCATCCACAAAAATAACCACGGTGTGGTGAAGGGCGAAAAAAAAGCAAAGGTGAAGTGAACCTGGGGAGAGATTCCCAGACTCGACCAGGACGACGGCAAGATGAATCTGCCCTGTCCACTCTTGCTAGTGTTTACTCCTCCTGTCCTACGCGTCGCATGGCTCCTCGTGCAGTCAGAGCCACTTGCCATGGCTGATTCTCCCTTTCCCCGCTTTTCAACACCTAGAAGACTCACTGCAGGTCTTTCCCTTTTAACTTGCAATGTGGAGATGTTTTTGTCGAGAAAACATTTTTTAAGAGGTGGAGTGTTCTTACATTCTGCACTGCAGTCAGGGTCTCATCGCTGGGTTTGTAGGCAAAGGGCTTGCAGTCCACTCATTGGTGTTCTGCTGCGTTAGCCTGGAGTCTGTGATGTTTGCGATTGCTAGGGTAAAGTATTCTTGATGGGGGGGCTATTGCACCAACAATTAATGTAGTGAGTGACCTGACTGAGCGGAGGCTGTGCGAGTATCCTACTAGTGACTGGGATTGACAAGGCATGGACCCAAATGCACAAGTGGTGCCCCCGGATCATGGAAAGACTGGTTGGGGCCCCATATCCTCAGTGGCTGCTCTGCGTCGCACACTGAGGCTTCAGGAGATGCAGTCGGTGGCTCAGGGGACGCATGGAGGACACGGAGACGGCACTGGTGTGCATGGAGCCAGGGGGCTTGTGCAGAGGAAGAGGAGTACGTGGCCCCAGTGAACGCAGAGCCTCAGGGACTCCAGCAGATGGAGCTGTGATGCTCTTGCTAAGAGGCTTTTCTTGCATTAGGATGGGAGTGCAGGTGTTTCCTCCTGCCTGTGGTATATGGAATGTAGCGGACATCACGAATATGTTAGAAGCCACACCGTTGCCTTGAGTGTGGCAAGTTAGACTCCTGAGTCCTTAGACTTTTAATATAGATCCAAAAGGACTAGTTTGGAAAATACAATTCACATGGCATGTCCTCATTCAATGATGATAATTTTCCATGTGCTAACATGAGATTGTATTGAGAAACATGGACAGAAATTATTGTCCTATTTGGTGTTTGCAGAATGTTTTTTTTATGGAATCAATAATTATCTTATTCCCTTCCAGTACCATTGTAATGGCTTGTCATGTTATAGTGCTCTAGGATTTATTGTTAGCTCCTCAACTCTCCTCCTAAAACACTTCTGCTTTGTGTTCATATACAGCTTTCATCACTGGTGTTTGGAACGCCATTCTGGTATTTATTGTCCCACCATTCAAACTCGTTGTCTCACTGTTGTGCGGCATTACTGTAAGCCTGGTTATAGCCCTGTTAAAAGCATGTCCACGTTTCACTCTGCAATAAGGTCCAATGAAAATGCTGGTCGCACCCACCAGGCCACAATAACCAAATTGTTGCTTTGTAAGAATCCATATGAAGTGATTGTCACGTGCTTTTAATGCTTTAATAGTTAAGTCTGAATGTATTTTGGTTGTAGAACTAATATACAACATTTAAATATGAGAGCATGCGTTGGGGCACCCATCTCACGTTCAAACCGGCAATGTGTAGTACGAGTGCCTTTTTAAAGTGTAATGTCACTCATAATCATGCAACGTCGTTAACACTTGCATTATGTGGTGATGTCGGCCAGTCCTCACTGCATTTAAAAGGAAAGGGTTGAGCCTATGGATAAAGATGCTTTGGTCACCATCGATAGACCATGTGTCACTACCACTGACAACACCTCCCAGATGGACAACTGTATGGCTTTTGATTTAAAGCTTTCGTGACTGCAGGGATTCATATTCTTGGTTCTTTCGGTAAAGTCACGTAGAAGGGAAACAATAAAATAATAAAAATACAAAACAATAAAATGCTCACGACGTTTCGACTGCAACACAAGCAATCATCATCAGGTGTGAAACACACAGCAAGAAAAGTTAGAAAAAAGTGGCGGTTATTTCTTAACGTCAGCACCACGAACAGCGATTTTGGCAGTTGTTCAGATGGACGAGTCCATCTATGTTCGGAAAATAGGAGGTGGAGAGGAAGAGAATGGAATGCGGTCTGAAAGTCACCGTACGCGTGAACACAATCAATTAGGACCCGAAATGGTTTATCAAATCCTTCCAATGATTGCTAAGCCAGAATCCATCTTCTCGGTTGAAATTGTCTCTGTGTTTGTATATGTGGATAGCCTCATGAACGAATCTCTCATGGTAGCCAGATGGCTTGCAGAGAACCTGTCTTGGAGAACCAATAATATAACTGTATGGCTTTCTAATTGATTTAATGCAATGCCTCAATGTGTTCCTACACTATGGTGGTGCATTGGAGAGGAGTGTTTAAATGCAAGTGATGTGTTTTATAGATAAATGGGGCATTGCGTCCTGAGTCAACTCTGTGTCCATCACAGCCAACTGCAGTGGCAGTGGACGACGTGCCTCCTAAACCCAAGGACCTGACCACCTCATTAACACTGCCATGAAAATACATAGCACCGTGTTGCAGTGTGGTTGTGCAGCTGTGGGGGTGATGTAGGGATGGTGTCACGGAGTGGAAAACTTTACAGATCAGAGTGTGTGAGGGTTTGATGGGTACCAGATGCTGAAGAGGAGGCTCTGCCCGGTGGTTGAGCCTCAGATTCAGGAGAAACAATGTGGATTCTGTCATGATCGTGGAACAATGGAGCAGCTATTTTCCCTATCACAGATATTTGAGGGGTCATGAGAGTATGCTTCTCCAGTCTACCTCTGCTTTGTAGACTTGGAGAAAGCATATGACCATGTTCCCCACAATGTCTGGGAGGTGCTGCTTGAGTATGATGTACTGGTGCTGCTTTTGTGCACTATCGGATCCCTCTATTCCCGGAGTGAGAGCTGTGTCCGTATTTTTGGTGTTAAAGTCGTTCACTGTGGGTGTTGGACTCCGCCAATGGTGTGACTTGTCTCCACTCCTGTTTGTGATTTTAATCAACATGATATCAAGGCGCAGCTGAGGTATGGAGAGTATCCAGTACGGGGGCATGAAAGTGGCGTCCCTGCTTATTGCAGATGACGTCCTCTTTGCCTCGTCAGTCTGTGATCTCCAAGCATGCACTTGAACAGTTCGATGCCGAGTGTGAAGCGGCTGGGATAAGGATCTGAGGTCACGGTTCACTCTGGGGAGATGGTGGATTGTTCTCTCCAGGTGAGGGGGGAAGAGCTGCCCTTAGTGGAGGAGTTTAATTACCTCTGCAGTCTCTTTCGCGAGTGATTGTAAGTGGGAGCGGGAGATCGGCCGGCGGATCGGTGCGGCATCCTCAGTGTAGCGGGCACTGTACCATTACGTGGTAGTGAAGCAGGAGCCGAGTTCTCGAAAAAAACTCTCAGTTTATAGGTCGAATTACATTCCCACCCTCACCTATGGTCATGACCTTTGAGTTATGACTGAAATTATAAGATCGCGGGTACAAGGAGCCGAAATGAGGTTTCTCTGCAGGGTTGCCGGGCTCACTCTCTGTGATTTGGGTGAGGAGTTCGGTGATCCAGGAGAGTCTCAGTCGAGCCGCTGCTCCTCCGGATCGAGAGGAGCCAGTTGAGGTGGTTTGGGCACCTGGTAAGGATGCCCCCCGATAGACTCCCCCTAGAACTCTACCGGGCATGTCCCACTGGGCGAAGGCCCCGGGACTGGCCCAGGATACGCTGGCAGGACTATGTCGCTCGGCTTGCCTGGGCACACCTGTGAATTCCCCAGGAAGAGCTAGAGTCTGTCGCCAGGGAAAGGGAGGTCTGGACCGTCCAACTCAACATGCGACCCTCACCCGGACGAGCGGATTGAGAAACGAATGAACAACTATTACACTGTCACAACTGGCTTCACAAACCCACTCGCATGCACAAACTCAGCACAACTGGACACCGGGGTTTATGTCCAAGTGCTTACGTTTCCACCCGAGTGGATAAAGCTCCCCTGGGGGCCCTCAGTGTGGTCTTCTCACAACAAATAGAGCATTTGCTGCTCTATCCGTGGTCTGCTTACAACTCACATTTGGTTGAGCCCCCGTGGTCCTTGGTGTGTGTGGGGGTGAGAAAGCAACAGTTTGTATAGATGTCATAGTTGATTGTTAACATCTTCAACCAATCCACGGCAGCAGTAGGCGTATGTACTGCAGAAATACCGCCAGGGTGTGCAGGATAGCGCACTCGTCGGTGATGTGTTTGATGGTTTGGGCTTTACCACAGTCGCAGTTTGGCGATTCTTTGATTTTCCATTAATGGAACATGTACAAACATCTCCCATGATGTGTTTGAACATTGTTCAATGTGGTCCACAACCGTGATTGGAGAGAGAATCCCGGTTCATCAATAGTCGGGTCTTCAATTATGTTTTTGTTTGCCATGTTTGTAGCTGCCCACCATTCAGACCAACGAGTGTGGGTGTCTTTATTTCCAGCTGCCAGAGTTGAGGGTGAGTATCCAGATTGGCTTCCTGGATTTAAGCCTTGGGCATGGGAGTTCCTTTATACCTTGGTGGAGCGGTAGGGTGAAGTTTTCCATGATGTACTCCCTAATCGTCGTGGTATCACTTCGGATGTTGGCTGGAGCGATGTTCACGAGTACAGGAATCCACAGGAGGAGAGTGGACTTCAGGATGCCGCTGATATGAAGTGCAGCATTGATTTCGTTGTCGATGAGGTTTGTGTGAGGGCTGGCCCTCCGACTCCGCTGCAGAGTGGACCAGGTCCTGCGTTGATATCTTCAACATGTAGGCATCACTTCCTCATGTTGTTCCCGCGAGTTTCTGGATATTGTTCACTTGTGCTTTTGTTTCAATTTTAGCTTGTTCAAGGTGGTGCCGGTAGTTGAGCATTCAGTCCTAGGGTAACTGTGAGGACCAACGTCCACCACACCGCCCTCGCTAGGCAAGTGAGACGCGTCATCCGCCCATTCCACTCCCTCCTCCACCGAGTCGGTTGGCTCCCGCCGGGCCCCCGCCGACTGAATGACGGGGCCCCCCGCGCTAGCGCCTTCATTGAGGGACATACTCCTGCTGCTAGCTTTAGAGCCACACGGAGTTAGACCACATGCCCGTGCACACCGCAGCTATCACTAACAAAGTGGGCCGTGAACGCGCTCGCACCTGCATGCCATTACCTCTAAACGCATGCCCGTGCACACCGCAGATATCGCTAACACAGGGGGCACGAACTCGCTCACACCTGCGAGCAATTACCTCTTAATGCATGCACACTCCGCAGCCCTGCGTTCACTCTCGCTGCGCGGTTCACCACGCATTAGCTCCACACAAATTACAGACACCACACCTATGCTCTGTGCTAACTTTTATTCTCAGCACAAACCACGCACTACCCGGGGGGAATATGTTGCGAGAAGAGCCTAGCCTAAGTCCCCAGTCACTCAAACGCCCTACCACGTACCTCGTAGCTTTACTCACGGCGTCACACGGACGCTGTGAGAGGCGGAGGGAAGAGGACGAAAAAGCATTGCCTATCACTGCCTCGTAGCAGCACTCGCTGGCATCACACAGATGCTGCGAGCGGCTCGAAGGCAGGACGGCAGGGGGGGGGGGTCTTGGCGGCCAAGATGTTGAAGATCTTTTTCGAACAGGTCCCGAGCTCCCCTTTGATCCTCCTGACTTCAAAAGCCCAGAGTTGTGTTGTAACGCACGGCCAATCGTGCGCCTACCTGTGGTTCCAGCTTTGCTTTTTGCCCTTTTTGCTTTTTTTTGCCATTTTTTGCCCTTAACTGGAGCATCGCGGCTGGTGCTTCTGCGATCCATTGTCTGCCCGTCCGTACTCAGGAACACATTACTTACCCTCGTTAATCCAGAATAACGCCCGGCTGGCGAATACACACCCTGTGAGTGTATATTCGGTAGGAGGGTGGGGGGGTCGTGGCCCTGCGCTCCCCTGACCTCATGATCTGCCCTTCTCGCTTATTCCACCCCAGCTTCTCCCGATGTCGTGAATGACTCATCGCGGCTGGCCCAGTGAACCTTTTTGCGCCCATACATTATTAAGCCTAACTCAGGGGCACCGTAATGTAAATTGTCCTGTGAAGGACGGCCAATCACCTGGCACCGGGAAACCGTGGGACTTTCCTCATAGGGACCCCTTCGGATTAAAACCCGTTGTGCCAAGCAATCCTCTGCCAGGACACTACGTGTGACCGCTGCGTGTGTGTACTCAGTGTGGGGGCCAGAGGGGGGTCGCAGCGCTTGCAGAGTGGCTTCGAGGCTGTGGGCACCACATAATTCCTAGGTCGTGTGTTGGTGTTCCACAGAAGTTGACATGTAATGTTTTCGTGGCTTGCCCGTTGTCCAAGTGGAAGATGGAGGTGACGCTTTGGAAGTAGTAGTAATAGTTTTTACCCTTTTATCTGGCAACAAAACTGACACCTTTATACAAGGGATCATGTTTGCATTAACCACAACACTTGCGGTCAAAATCGAAACAAAAAGAAAACTCTGATAATGTATGCACTGTCCTTGAAATTGATTGGTCCACACCAGAGACAGCTTTTGTTAGAGCCCAGTCTCACATGGTGTTGGACCAGATGATGCCAAAAGGTGCACAACTCAAAGACAACGCACCATCAGAGTATTGAGAGCTCTGGGTAAGCATTTACATTGAGATGTCCTTTGCCAGTAGCTAGATATAGTAATAGGATTTTTACCCTTTTATCTGGCAACAAAATTGACACCTTTATACAAGGGATCATGTTTGCATTCACCACAACACTTGCGGTAAAAATGCAAACAAAATTACAACTGATAATGTATGCACTGTCCTTGAAATTGATTGGTCCACACCAGAGACAGCATTTGTCAACCTCAGCAGTGTGGATGTGTATAGCCAGGTGCAATGCCCCCCCCCCCCGCATCTCTACCCCCCTCTCTCCCCCCATTGTCTAACACACTTGAACTGTGCCCTCGCCTTCAGCTCCACCTCTATCTCTACCCCCCCCCGTCTCTAACCCCCCACCCTCTCTCCCCCTATCTCTACCCCCTTCCTCCCCCCATTGTTTCCCCGCCCATGCTGTCTACGCACAGTCCTCCTCCCAACTCCCCCGTTGTCTCAGTCTACCTCCACTGAGGTTGTATTCACTTACCTTACCGTTGCTTTTCAGGCCGAAATATCTTTGCGTGGCATTCTACCACCAATTTGATGACATTTGTTGTGCTTTTGCACGTAGCAGGGAAGACGGCAAGCAGGTTGTTATCTTCTCCCCCGCAGTAGACCCTGCAGACACACCTCCGTATAGCCCAATCAGCCCCACAGCCCCAGGTACAGGCACTCAGCTTCTCAGGCAGCACTGCTTGAGGCTCTTTGCATCCTCGGATGTGGTTCTTACACACATTCCAGCAGTTGATCAGGCCTTCCTGCTGGTGGCTGGTTCCTGCTGCGCCCACCTTCCTTTCTCCTCCCCCATAGTGTTCTTTGAATTGCTATTTTTTCCACCCTCATTTGTATAATCTGTAGGGGATCACACCTAGGATGCTGTTTGGGCCACGCTCACATTTGTATCACATTTCCTAACATGCATAGGCATGCTCCATCTCCTACTCTCACAAACACACAAAACCAGTCATTCTCCCAGATATTCACCGAATAAACTCTATTGGGGTATGGGATTCTCTTTCACTTTTTCACATTATCTCCCGAGAAGAAGCAACGTTTTCTTCGACTCTTAACATGAGCCTGAAATAGAAGCCATTCCACCGACTAACACTGCTTTCATGACCTGAGTCCTCAGGTAGTCGGCTCCAATGTCAGAGATGTTAATAATCCGTATGGTATATCTATACAGCTGCAGTGACAATGCCCATCTCATTACACGGTCGTT